GCAGTGACTGCTTTCTTCTGGCACTTCTTTTGATGGTTTTTAAAGAGTTTAGTTATGTTGTCGAAGGCTTTCATGGTCGGAATCACTGGGTTGCTGTGAGTTTTCCTGGCTGTATGGCTATGTTCCAGAAGTACTCTCTCCTGACATTTCACCCACATCTATGGCAGGCATCCTCAGAGGTTGTGAGGTCTGTTGGAAACTAGGAAAATTGTGGAATAACATAGAATATATCTGTGGAATAATGCCCAGGGTGGGAGAAATAAGTCTTGTCTGTTTGAGGCAAGTGTGAATGTTGCGGTTGGCCAGCTTTTCCCCCCTTCTCTTTATGTTTTGTGTATATTGTTTATATGTTGAATATTTTAATGCCATGTTGTTTATTTTATTGCAATTTGTATCTTATTTTATTGTATTTGGTTGTTCAGGCTTGGCCTCATGTAAGCCGCCCCGAGTCCATTGGGGGAGATGGTGGCAGGGTCTAAATAAAGTTTATTATTATTATTCTTGATTAGCATTGAATAGCCTGGTAGCTTCGAAGCCTGGCTGCTTCCTGCCACCCTGGAAATTCCACAGATATATAAACCCCACTTGCCTCATTTCCAACAGATCCCTCAACCTCTGAGGATGTTTGCCATAGATGTGGGTGAAATGTCAGGAGAGAATGCTTCCAGAACATGGCCATACAGCTTGGAAAATTTACAGGCTGTATGGCTATGTTCTAGTTTAGTTATGATCCTTTCCTGCTACACATTTATTCTTTCCTGCTACACAACCCAGTTTAGTTATGATCCTTTCCTGCTACACATTCATAACCTCATCACTCTATAGAATGAATCCACTTAAATCCGGTTTCTGCCTCCTGCAGAATTCAGGGGTGTGTAGTTTAGGGAGAAGCCTTTAACATCCTCACTAAACTACAAACCCCAGAATTCTGCTGGAAGCAGAAACCAGATTTTAAAGTGGATTCATACTCTAGTGCAAGGGTCCCCAAACTACGGCCCGCGGCCCACTTCCGGCCTCCAAGGGCACTTATCCGGCCCGTGGAGGAGGAGCGACCCCCCCCCCACACACACAGTGCCCCTCCCTTGGCTGGCTCACGCTATCCGTCAGGCCCGATGGGCAGCGTGAGGCCAGCCAAGGGCAGCTGCTCCGCGTGGTCTACTCGCGCGTAAAGCACCTCGCGAGGTGCTTTACTCACACCGCGTGGTGCTGCTCCTCCCTTGGCAGGCTCACGCTATCCGTCAGACCCAATGGGCAGCGTGATCCAGCCAAGGGAGGCTGCCCCAGCGCTCCATGCAGTCATGCCAGCCACATGACCTTGGAGGTGTTTACGGACAACGCCGGCTCTTCGACTTAGAAATGCAGATGAGCAACACCCCAGAGTCAGACACGACTGGACTTCATGTCAGAGGAAAACCTTTAACTAGGAAAATTGTGGAAGATCCAGGGTGGGAGAAAGAACTCTTGTCTGTTGGAGGTAGGTATGAATGTTTCAATTGGCCACCTTGATTACCATTTCATAGCCTGACAGTTTTTAGGGAGAATCCTTTGTTGAGAGGTGATTAGCTGTCCCGGATTCTTTCTTGTCTGGAATTCCCCTGTTTTTGAATGTTGTTCTTTATTTACAGTTATAATTTTAGAGTTTTTTTTAATACTGGTAGCCAGATTTTGTTCAGACTAGAAATAGGAAGATTTCCCATTCTCTGCTCCTGGAATTACTGCCTAAAGAGGGCTAGAAAGAACCCCCTCTAAGGGCCCTTCCACACAGCAAAATAAGATATGATTATTATTATTATTATTATTTAAAAAACTATAGTCCACCCTCCAACGGTCTGAGGGACAGTGAACTGGCCCCCGGTTTAAAAAGTTTGAGGACCCCTGCTCTAGTGTGATGAAATACTAAATCTGTTTTCTGGATCTCTTCCGTGGATGAGGAACGAAACCTTGGGAGCTGTAGTTCTGCGGAAGGGTCTCTTTTCTACAAAGGGCACAAAATGCTGAACGATTCCTCCTGTGGAAAAGAAGGGAAGCCATAGAAAGCAGTAGCTTGAAGTGGACTAGATTTGGGGGGGGGAATGGGGCAAGGGTCCCCTGCCCACATTAACCCCTTTCTTCCCCTCTTTCTAGGAAGCTGCTGGGGATCATTACCAAAAAGGACGTCTTGAAGCACATTGCACAAATGGCCAACCAGGACCCAGACTCCATCCTCTTCAACTGAGCGGGGCAACAAAACACAGGCCCCTCAAGGCTTGGACTCCAGAGACTCAGAATCCGGAGCGGCCTTTACAGCGTTTTTCCATCTGGAGCGAACGATAATCATGTTTTTGTTTTTCTACAAGATAACGGATTGCACTACATAATCTGTGGGAAATTAACCTTCTCTTTAGAAGGAAAAAAAATAAGACTTTTATTATATCATTCTTTGGAAGTTGGATTGGGAAAAATAGTCCACGAAGGAGTAAAAGAAGTGGTATAAGTTGAATAATTTATTCATGTTGCTTTGCTGCCAAACGAAATCTTGAAGGAAGGGAGAAGGGGGCAGTCGTCCCTCCCGGAAACTCTGCAGAAATCCCGGCAGGGCTTTCCGACTGCATTCCTTTCTGCTGAAGCCGCTCCTCTCACAAGAGGCAAATTGCTCACTGGGATGACCTTTGGGTTGTTGTCGTTTTTTAAAAAAAAAAAAAGACCGCTGTTTAAACGCTCTACAAGTGCATTTAAGATCATGTTTTGTGAATGAGAGGAGTCCTTTCCAAGACCATTTTGACCTCAGCTCCCAACCAGAATGACTTCTCTGTGTCAGCGGCTAGCAGATCCTTGGCAGCTTAATCCTCCTTAGGTTTACCTAGATCAGCATTTCTCAACTTGGGGGTCGTGAGGGGGTTTCAGAGGAGTCAAACATATTTCTGATGGTCTTAGGAACCCCTTTGGCAGATCTCTCTGTCTATTGTCGAAGGCTTTCATGGCCAGAATCACAGGGTTGTTGTAGGTTTTTTTGGACTATATGGCCATGTTCTAGAGGCATTCCCTCCTGACGTTTTGCCTGCATCTATGGCAAGCATCCTCAGAGGTCGTGAGGTCTGTTGGAACTAGGAAAAAGGGTTTATATATCTGTGGAATGACAAAGGACTCTTGTCTGCTGGAGTTAGGTGTGAATGTTTCAACTGACCACCTTGATGGCCTGGCAGTGCCTGGAGCAATCTTTTGTTGAGAGGTGATTAGATGTCCCAGATTGTTTTCCCTCTGTTGTTTTGCTGTTATAATTTTAGAGTTTTTTAAATACTGGGAGCCAGATTTTGTTCATCTTCATGGTTTCCTCCTTTCATGGTTTCCTCCATGCTTGTGGATTTCAATGGCTTCTCTGTGTAGCCTGACATGGTGGTTGTGAGAGTGGTCCAGCATTTCTGTGTTCTCAAATAATATGCTGTGTCCAAACTCGTTCATCAGGTGCTCTGCTATGGCTGACTTCTCTGGTTGAATTAGTCTGCAGTGCCTTTCATGTTCCTTGATTCGTGTTTGGTCCCTATATAGACTTGTCCACAGCTGCATGGTATATGGTAGATGTCAGGAGAGAATGCCTCTAGAACATGGCCATATAGCCCCCAAAAAACCTACAACATCTCTCTGTCTGTCCTTCTCTTCCTTTTTGGAAACAGATAGCAAATCCACCCACCAAAAGCACTCCTCTAATGTGATTTGCTGGCCTCTCTGCCAAGGGGAGGGCTGTTTTTGGGTTGAGAGCAGGCATGCTCGGTGCATGGCAACATGGTGCACATGTGCAGTCAAGGCTGGATGGAGGCTCGTGCCAGCAAGTCCCTTCAAAGCATGAGGGTTCTGTGTAGGAAGTTTGGCCCAATTCTATCGTTAGTGGGGTTCAGAATGTTCTTTGATTGTAGGTGAACTACAAATCCCAGCAACTGCAACTCTCAAATATCAAGGTCTATTTCCCCAAACTCCATCAGTGTTCGCATTTGGGTATACTGAGTATCCATGACAAGTTTGGTCCAAGTCTATCATTGTTTGAGTCTACAGTGCTCTCTGGATGTAGGTGAACTAGAACTCCAAAACTCAAGGTTAATGCCCACTCAATGCTTCCAGTATTTTCTGTTGGTCATGGGAGTTCTGTGTGCCAAGAATGTTTCAATTCCATCATTGGTGGAATTCAGAATGCTCTTTGATTGTAGATGAACTATAAATCCCAGCAACTACAACTAGCAAATGTCAAGGTCTATTTGCCCCAAACTCCACCAGCGTTCACATTTGGGCATATTGAGTATTCATGACAAGTTTAGTCCAGGTTTATCATTGTTTGAATCTACAGTGCTCTCTGGATGTAGATGAACTACAACTCCAAAATTCACGGTCAATTCCCACCCAACGCTTCCAGTATTTTCTGTTGGTCATGGGAGTTCTGTGTGCCAAGAATGTTTCAATTCTATCGTTGGTGGAGTTCAGAATGCTCTTTGATTGTAGATGAACTATAAATCCCAGCAACTACAACTCCCAAATGACAAAATCGACCTGAACAGTATTCAAATTTGTGTGTATTGGGTATTTGTGCCAAATTTGGTCCAGTGAATGAATCAGATATTTACATTACGACTGATAACAGTAGTATCCCTCCAGCACAAAACATATTCTAGATCTCTATAAAATGATCATCTTCTACCTGCTTGAAAACCAGTGGCCGGACTGCTCCAGTTCATACCCAGCTCTAAGTGTTTTTCCTCTTTCAGTTTCCATTTCTTTGCCTCCAAACAGTTCCAATACTACTGTAACTACTACAGGTCAAGGCTATGGAGTCTTGGGTGCTGAAATTTTATAAACTCCTTAACCTTCTCTGTAATTCCCAGGATTCCACAGCATTGAGTCAAGGCATTGAAAGTGGGGTCCAACTGCATTTGTTCCACAACATATACCTGCATCATGGACGATGGGGTGGAAAAAGTGCATTCTGCTGTCACCTCCCAACAAAGATTTCCCTCGGCAGTAAGAAGCCAGACCTTGAAACTCCTAGGCCATTGAATGTTAATCAAGGTAGCTAATTGAAGCATTGACACCTATCTCAGAAAGACAAGAGTTCTTTCTTCCACAGATATAGAAACCCCATTTTCCTAGTTTCCAACAAACCTCACAACCTTTGAGTACGCCTGCCATTGATGTGGTTGAAACGTCAGGAGAGAATGCTTCTGGAACATAGCCATAGAGCCTGGAAAACTCACAACAACCAATTGATTCCAGCCATGAAAGCTCCACAGATATAGAAATCCCATTTACCTAGGTTCCAACAAACCTCACAACCTTTGAGTATGCCTGCCATTGATGTGGGTGAAATGTCAGGAGAGAATGCTTCTGGAACATGGATATCGATATTTACATTATTTTTTCCAGGCCATAGAGCCTGGAAAACTTACAACAACCCAGTGATTCCAGCCATGAAAGCTTTTGACAGCGCTTTCTGCAGTTTTTAAGTGGTCAAAACAGTTTTGCAGCAACGGAATAGCCACTTCTGAGAAAATCACTCCAGTTTGAAGACATATTTCACCATTAACCCTTTGCAAGAAGCCCCCAGCTGCTGTGGCTGCCTCGTTTTCCCTGACTGCCAATATTTACATATTTCCTTCCTCCCCTTTGGACCACTTTTGGACCCTCCAAAACCCCAAAGTAGAAGAAGAGAGCCGTCCCTTGCACTTCCATGTCCCGGAGCTTTGGCAGCCGAGGCGGTTTCACCTGAGACGATGCGCAAACCTGAAAGGCCGGTCAGAGCTGCATACAGCCGAAGTGGGGAGGGCAGAAAAAAAGTCTCAGCTCCCCCTTTCCTCGTCTCTGGTGCCTTCAGGCTGTGCAAACAGGTGCCACACTGACCTACATTTCTGACCAAGGCAACCTTTCCTGTTTCAGCAATGCACCTGAACACAACACAGCCATACCGAAGGGAGTCTGTTTTGCAGGAAGTAGTTTTTAGTTTCCTGAAGATTAGTGGTAAAAGCTTGTCGAAATCATCAGAATTCCTGGCTTAGCAGAAAAGGTGTATGTCTCCGGCAGATAGTAAACATGCAATAGGGAGGGCAAGTGTCCTGATCTGTGTCCAAAAGTTTGACGGCTGAGTTGTGGTTTTCCATTGCACCACTTGACCTCACGTTACCGGCTTTTGCGTCCATTTGTATTAATCGGTTTTGGTGAGGGATAGCTTCCTTCTCACTGGAAAATGATGGGCAGAAACTAGCATGGAAGGGAATCCACTACAAGTCCCACCACACTGACAAAACAGTGAGGTGCTTCCTTATTCCCCGCTCAAAGAGCCTGGATTTATAGTCCTCAAGAGTCCCAATTCGGCAAGGAACCCCCGTCGCGACTGCTAACCAAAGCTTGAGTGTCTCCTGCAGCTTCCAAGCAGGTCCATCCAGCCCAATGACAACATCAAAAGGCAAACGTGGTGTCAGCGTCCAAAGGGTTCCCCAAGGAGGAAAACACCCCGCCGGTGTCATCCGTCCAACTGGAAGGCCCCAAAATAGCTGCCTGCTTCATCGCTATCGTTGATGTCCAGCGTGGAGACGGAGACGAAGAGCCTGTCCCCGGCCCGGAGGTCGAAGAGGCCACCCTGGTAGAGAGCGTGGAGGCCGTAAGTGGCGTCCTTGGCCCAGCACTTGGTGCCCACCCCTTTCAGGAGCAGCGCATTCTGCCCAGAGCCGTCTTGCATGTGGACGCACTGCACCAGCTGGCGGCCCAAGGCCTGGGCTCCAGAGCCCTCCGTCGGATAGCGGAAGTAGACCTGCGCATAGACGTAGTACTTGCCCGGCTGGCGGATGAACAGCTGGCCACCCCGGTAGCTGATGTTCTGGAGGTGGGCGTGCATGGTCTGGTCGGCCCAGTGGCCAATGGGGTGCCGACACGACTGGGGCAGCTCCCCAAACTTCGCCAGAGCCTCTGTAAGGAAGGGGGGGGGGGAGAGAGAAAGAGAAAGGGATTCGGTCAGGAGAGAATGCTTCTGGAACATGGCCATTGATATTTACATTATGTTTTCCAGGCCATAGAGCCTGGAAAACTTACAACAACCCTGTGATTCCAGCCATGAAAGCCTCATGGCTGAAATCTCAACCTTCTTAATGCAGCGACCCCTTAATACAGTTAATCATGTTGTGGTGACCCCGCAGCCATAAAATTATTTTCGTTGCTACTTCATAACTGTAATTTTGCTACTGTTATGAATCGTAATGTAAATATCTGATATGCAGGATGTATTTTCATTCACTGGACAAAATTCGGCACAAATATTTGATATGCTCAAATTTGAATACCAGTAGGGATGGGGGAGGAGCTTGATTTATCATTTGGGAGTTGTAGTTGCTGGGATTTATAGTTCACCTACAATCAAAGAGCATGCTGAACTCTCACCAATGATGGAATTGAACAAAACTTGGCACACAGAACTCCCATGACCAACAGAATATACTGGAAGGGTTTGGTGGGCATTGACCTTGAGTTTTGGAGTTGTAGTTCACCTGAATCTAGACCAAACTTGGCACGAATACTCAATGCCCAAATGTGAACACTGGTGGAGTTTGGGAAAATAGACCTTGACATTTGGGAGTTGTAGTTGCTGGATTTATAGTTCACCTACAATCAAAGAGCATTCTGAACCCCACCAACAATAGAATTGGGCCAAACTTGGCACACAGAACTTCCACGACCAACAGAAAATATTGGAAGGGTTTGGTGGGCATTGATCTTGAGTTTTGGAGTTGTAGTTCACCTACATTCAGAGAGCACTGTGGACTCAAACAGTGATGGATCTGGACCAAACTTGGCACGAATACTCAATATGACCCAAGTGTGAACACTGGTGGAGTTTGGGGAAAATAGACCTTGACATTTGGGAGTTGTAGTTGCTGGGATACATAGTTCACCTACAATCAAAGAGCATTATGAAGCCCACCAACTATTGTTGGTGGGGTTCAGAATGCTCTTTGATTGTAGGTAAACTATAAATCCCAGCAACTACAACTCCCAAATGTCAAGGTCTGTTGGTCATGGGAGTTCTGTGGGCCAAACTTCCCACACAGAACTCCCATGTCTTGAAGAAACTCGCTGGTGCGAGCCTCCCTCCAGCCTCACAAGCTCTCCCTCGTCCACAAATGCGCACCAAGCTGCCAAGTGCTGAGCACACTTGCTCCCCCTCCTCACTTAGAGTCTCAGGAACAGCTCTCCCCTTCACTGAGCCAATCACAGCAGGAGGACGAAGGGCAGGCGGAGAGATCTTCAGCCTTCTCTGCTAAAGGGGTTCCCAAGACCATCAGAAATATATGTTTTTAGATTATCTTTGGCGACCCCTCTGAAACCCCCTTGTGACCTCCCCCTAGGGGTCCCGACACCAGGTTGAGAAACACTGGAGTCAAATCTGATGTATAGAAAACATCTCCATGTCATGGCTCAAGAGTGCAGTGAGAGGCCTGCTCTGAGAAAAAGAGTGATAAATCTGGCATGGCTTGTGGTGAAGGGAAGCCAACAAGAACCCCTAAGAGGAGCCTGGGGAAAAGGAGGCCAAGGGAAGGGGATCCCAGTGAGGAGGAAGGGGCAAGGTTGGCTGCTGCAGTTTTGGTCGCTAGGCCACAATGAGGTCATGGATTCAAACTGCAGGAGGAGGGATCCCCTGCAGAGCCCTCCAAGTCTGCTGGAGTCTCCTTCCTTCTCTGCAGGTTTATAAACAAAGGCTGGCTGGCTAGCCCTCTGTCGGGAGGGATTTGATTGAGTCTCCCTGTCTGGCCAAAAGGGGTTCGACTGGATGGCCTTTGACGATCTCTTCCAACTCCCTGATTGTATGAGATCTAGAAGCAGGACTGGGAAGCAACAAGACCTTAATGCTCTTGGACTGGCATTACCCAGCAGGAGCCCCTGGTGAGGCAATGGGTTAAACCCTTGTGCCAGCAGGACTGCTGACAGATAGGTCAGCGGTTTGAATATGGGGAGAGAGCGTTGTTAGTTTCATAGAATCCTAGAGTTGGAAGAGACCTCATGGGCATCCAGTCCAACCCCATTCTGCCAAGAAGCAGGAATATTGCATTCAAAGCACCCCTGACAGATAGCCACCCAGCCTCTGTTTAAAAGCTTCCAAAGAAGGAGCCTCCACTACACTCCGGGCAGAGAGTTCCACTGCTGAATGGCTCTCACAGTCAGGAAGTTCTTTCTCATGTTCAGATGGAATCTCCTCTCTTGTAGTTTGAAGCCATTGTTCTGTGTCCTAGTTTCTAGAGACTATGTCTTCCTCTCACGTATTTACACATGGCTATCATATCTCCTCTCAGCCTTCTCTTCTTCAGGCTAAACATGCCCAGCTCCTTAAGCCGCTCCCCATAGGGCTTGTTCTCCAGACCCTTGATCATTTGAGTCGCCCTCCTCTGGACACATTCCAGCTTGTCAATATCTCTCTTTAATTGTGGTGCTCAAAATTGGACATAATATTCCAGGTGTGGTCTAACCAAGGCAGAATCTAGAGGTAGCATGACTTCCCTAGATCTAGACACTATGCTCCTGTTGATGCCCATTGGCTTTTTTTGCCGCCACATCACATTGTTGGCTCATGTTTAACTTGCTGTCCACGAAGACTCCAAGATCTTTTTCACACGTACTGCTCTCGAGCCAGGCGAGAGCTCTCTATGCGGGCACATGAGAGAAGCTTCCCACAAGGATGGTAAAACATCAAACATCCAGGTATCCCCTGGGCAACATCCTTGCAGATGGCCAATTTTCTCACACCCAAAGCAACTTGCAGTTTCTCAAGTCGCTTCTTACATGAAAAAAAAAATTACCCAGCAGACTTTTAGCCAGTAAGATTCCTATCCCATTATAGGGGGCATTGGTAATGGACCCTGGAAAAGTATTTCCACTCATCCAAAGGCCTCCTTTCTAAGACAGGGGCAGACACTCTGGATAGATCCCTTGGGCTTCCTGTTCACATCAGCTCCTCCTCCCAAAGAGCCATTGCAGAGACCTCCTTCTTCTCGCCTACCTGGCTGGACGGGGCTCAGCCGCCGGAGCGTGAGGTGTGCTGAAGGCCTCCTTCCTGATGGTTGGCTGGTCAGTGGCTGCTCAGAAGAGAACTTCTCCATGGTGCCTGCAACCAGAAGGGAAGGCCAGACTTTGAGGAAGGCTGCCAACTTGCTGCTCTTTATTTATTTATGTATTTATTTACTGCATGTATATACCGCTTTTCTCCTCCTGAGGGAACTCAAAGCGGTTTCCAACATTATAAAGGCAAAATTCAATGCTGTACATATATGTGAAAACCAAAACATAATAGCTATTATTTATTTATGGCATTTCTATGCCGTCCTTCTCACCCCGAAGGGGACTCAGAGCGGCTTACAAGATATATTTTCATACAATATATTATATTATTAGCATAGTACAAGATCAGTTTTATATATTACTATATTGCACTATACCATGATATTGTAATATTATTAGTAATATTACATGTAATGTAAATATATAATTATAATTATAATATTGTATTATTATTATTACTAGTATTATATATATTATATTATATAGCTAGACTATAACATATAACTATAAATTAAAAACCTAACCAAATTGAAAAAAACAAGCATAAAATAACATAAAATAGACATAAAAGCATAAAAATTAAACATCGATAATACAATAACATTGATATTAAAACCCACCCGTAAACAACACAATATAAAAACAGCTATTAAAATCACACCATCCAAAATCAAATCCATAGTTGTTCCATTGGTTCGTTCACTATTCCTTGTTCTCTTACTGCACTAAGAACTGTGCTGTCCGAAAGCTTGGTCAGATGACCATGTTTTTACTTTCTTCCTGAATGACAGGAGCCGCACTAATTTAAAGTCACACAATCTGATATCGTGGTCCACAGCCATTCCAATTTGTCATTGCACTATTCCACCTTTTCGCACTGATAAGTTACTCACTGAATTCTTGGTTGCTCATCCACGTCCTTAGCCTTTTCCTAAAGGAGGGAGGGGGCTGATCTAATTTCATCCCCCTCCCTCCTGACCTTATGGAGGGAGTTCCATAGCCAAGGGGCCACCACTGAGAAGGCCCTGTCTCTCATCCCCACCAGTCACGCTTGCGAGGGAGGTGGAATCTAGAGCTGGGCCTCCCCAGAAGATCTTAATCTCCGAGGTGGATCATAGATGGAGATACGTTTGGACAGGTAAGCTGGGCTGGAACCGTTTAGGGCTCTATAGGCTAAAACCAGCACTTTGAATTGTGCTCAGGAGCGGACTGGCAGTGAGTAGAGCTGGCATAAGAGTGGAGTTGCATGCTCACTGTATGCTGCCCCAGTTAGAAATCTGGCTGCTGTTCGTTGGACCACGTGAAGCTTCCGAAGTCTTCAAAGGCAACCCCATGTACAGCAGACTGCAGTAGTCTATCCTTGATGTAATAAGAATGTGGACCACTGTGGCCAAGTCTGACTTCCCAAGGTATGGGCACAACTGGTGCTCAATGTGCAAAAGCTTCCCTTTGGGACCACAGTCTCTTCTGCTCAGAAGGAACCTTGCTACCCACTCTGTAGTACTTTGGAGAAACTTCCCTGCATCGTCTATGATCTGCCCTGTGAATATGCCTTATGCCTTTATCTATTCAACCCAAGACTGTGGGATGCTCTCTTGCTCTCCCATTCCTGCCCCAGACTCACCTGCCTGAGCACTCTTCTGGATAACGTCCTCCGTCACCTGAAACAGGAGTTTTGGGGGGGGGGGGAAGCAATGAATAGAGTGTGAGGACCTTAATATATCTCGTATTGTACTCTTTTCCCTGCCCCCCCCCCCAAGGGTCCCGGTTACAATCGGAAACGGGGGTGCTATGCAGATTTAAGAAGTGCTTTTGTCCAAAGGCGAACCTGCCTCTTCTGCAACGAGGAAGAGTTTGGAGGGCAGAAAAAGGGACCTGAGAAAAGGAAGACGAAGTCCGCTTGCATTTGGGGCAAACCAGGTTTTTGCTTGGAAAGCTTCAGTCCCAGATTTGTGGTACAGAGCATAATGATTTGGGTCATCTTTGTGCTGGTGCCTCCTCTCCATGGCCGATCCCATGATATACATAAAGGCCCTTTTCTCCTCTCTTAGTGGACCATGTGTTGACTTCTTATCCCTGGTCATTGGCTTCTCCCATGACAAAGGGTAAAGGGCAAAAGAGGTCCCTGAGTGGGGGTCCGCCCCTCTCCCATAAAGACCTGCCTCTTGCGCCTGGACAGCAGGGGAAGGGAGTGCCCAAGGCTCACCCCAGTGACGTAATTCCTGATGCTGCTGGCCATCTTGAGGCAGGACTGGTTGCCCACCAGCTCCTCCCAGTTGGAGAGATCCTGCAGTCGGTTGAGCAGCACGAGGCACCGCAGCTCCTCCGAAGTGCCCTGGGCCTCAGCCTTGAGCTGCGAAGGAAACAGAAGGGAGAATAAAAAATCTATATAAATAAAAATGTAATGTTCGTTTGTGGGATTAACATCTCGAAAACCACTGGACGAATTGACACCAAATTTGGACACAAGCCTCAGAAGTCTTCATTTCCCAAAAATAGATTCCAAGGCGAGGGGATGAACACAGAATTTTATTTTGCAAAATGAACTGTGGGCAACATGAAAAAGAAGGAAGTGCCACCGGTTGGCTTTTATAAAATTTCCAAGGACATTTCACACGTCCCTAAATCCCTTTCCATTCCCCTTTCATCCTCCCATGCTACCTTTGATTAGAATCATAGAGTTGGAAGAGACCTCATGGGCCATCCAGTCCAACCCCCTGCCAAGAAGCAGGAATAATGCATTCAAAGCACCCCTGACAGATGGCCATCCAGCCTCTGTTTAAAAGCTTCCAAAGAAGGAGCCTCCACCACACTCCGGGGCAGAGAGTTCCACTGCTGAACGGCTCTCACAGTCAGAAAGTTCTTCCTCATGTTCAGATGGAATCTCCTTTCTTGTAGTTTGAAGCCATTGTTACGCGTCCTAGTCTCCAGGGAAGCAGAAAACAAGCTTGCTCCCTCCTTCCTGTGGCTTCCTCTCACACATTTATACATGGCTCCCATCATGTCTCCTCTCAGTCTTCTCTTCTTCAGGCTAAACATGCCCAGCTCCTTAAGCCGCTCCTCATAGGGTTTGTTCTCCAGACCCTTGATCATTTTAGTCGCCCTCCTCTGGATTTGATGCTCATCAAAACAGTTCAGGAAAGCACAACTTCCCAATTACAGTCATTCAATATATCAATATACACCATCTAGGCTTTTCCCCTTCCTTTGAGGCATCTATTGTGGTCCAATCCATCAGACACTGTTTTGTTTGAACTGTCTACATCAAAGACCTGCTTTTTTGGGTTTACTGTCTTGTGATTTCCTTAGCTTGACATTCCAAACCTTCAACTGATGTCTCCTTTTGCATATCTAAGGAAGTTATGGGCTGTTTATGGTTGGGCTCTGTTGCTCTTCTTTCAACTGCTGCTTGTTCTGTGTCTCTCTCATGGCTTAACTCTAAAGGCAAAGGCTGATTTCCTTTGAACCCTAAAGAGTTTCTCAACCTCCCTAATGCCGCAACCCCTTAATGCAGTTCCTCATGTTGTGGTGACCCCCAACCATAACATTATTTTTGTTGCTACTTCATAACTGTAATTTTGCTAGTTATGAATCGTAATGTAAATATCTAATATGCAAGATGTATTTTCATTCACTGGACCAAATTTGGCACACATACCCAATATGCCCAAATTTGAATACTGGTGGGGTTGGGGGTGATTTTGTAATTTGGAAGTTGTAGTTACTGGGATTTAAAGTTCACTTACAAACAAAGAGCATTCTGAACTCCACCAATGATGGAATAGAACCAAACTTGGCACATGTATAGTTGAAGGTGACCACTCCCCCAATAATAGATAGTTTATAATCAGGGAATTAATAGTTTTGCCAAGGACCCCAGGCTGAAATGACACCTGGAACTCCCATGACCAACAGAAAATACTGGAAGGGTCTGGTGGACATTGATCTTGAGTTTGGAGTTGTAAGGTAAAGGTAAAGACTGTCCCCTGACATTAAATCCAACAACAACAACAACAACAATAATAATATATTTGTGTTACCTACAGTTTTATAATATTGTGTTCTATTGATATTGTTGTTATATGAATCTGGCATTGAATTGTTGCCATAGTTTGTAAGCTGACCTGAGTCCCCTTCGGGATGCGAAAGGCGGGGTATAAGTACAGTAAATAAATAATAACAACAACTTTATTTATATACTGCTCCATCTCCCCGAGGGGACTCAGAGCGGTTCCCAGGTAACATCACAAAATATACAAAGTAAAAAAAAACAACATAACCATAAGATTAACAAAACTAAATATAAGCATAAAAATTGTCGCCATAAAGTTATGTCCAAATCTCGGGGTTGGTGCCCATCTCCATTTCTAAGCCAAAGAGCCAGCGTTGTCCGTAGACACCTCCAAGGTCATGTGGCCGGGATGACTGCATGGAGCACCATTATGGAGTTGTAGTTCACCTACATCCAGAGAGCACTGTGGACCCAAACAATGATAAATTTGAACCAAACTTGGCACAAATACTCAATATGCCCAAATATAAGCACTGGTGGAGTTCAGGGAAAATAGACCTTGACATTTGAGAGTTGTAGTTGCTGGGATTTATAGTTCACCTACAATCAAAGAGCATTCTGAACCCCACCAATGATAGAATTGGGCCAACTTTCCATGCAGAACCCCCATGTCTTGAATGGGATTTGCTGGTGTGAGCCTCCCTCCGGCCTCGCATGCTTTCCCTCGCCCACACATGCGCACCACACTGCCATGTGCTAAACATGCCTGCTCTCCCCCACTTGGAGGCTCAGAAACAACACTCCCCTTACTGCTGGGATTTATAGTTCACTTACAATCAAAGAGCATTCTGAACCCCACCAGTGATAGAATTGGGCAAACTTTCCATGCAGAACCCCCATGTCTTGAAGGGACTTGCTGGTGTGAGCCTCCCTCCGGCCTCACATGCTCTCCCTCGCCCACACATGCGCACCACACTGCCATGTGCTAAACATGCCTACTCTCTTCTCTCCACTTGGAGTCTCAGGAAAAGCCCTCCCCTTGGATGAGATGCTGGCCAATCACAGCAGAGGAGAGCTTTTGGGGGAAGGATTTGCTGTGTGTTTCCAAAAAGGAGAAGAACAGGCAGAGAGATCCTCAGCCTTCTCTGCCAAAGGGGTTTCTAAGACCATCAGAAATATATGTTTTCTGATGGTCTTTGGTGACCCCTCTGAAACCCCCTCATAAAACCCACTCTGAAACCCCCTCATGACTGCCTTTTGCAGCTGATGGTCAGCCAGCGCAGATTGTTTTTAAGTGCAGGCCAAGGTCTTGAGGCACTGCACCCATTACTATTATTATTATTATTATTATTATTATTTGCTTAATTTATGACTAAAGACCATGTATTTAATCAAACCTATTCTTCATACTATTGCTATTTACTAATCAAATGAAATCAGGGACTTGCTGGAGCAAAGGTTTAGAGAAGGCACTTTCTGATCTCCTTGCAAAAGCGCCAAGATTCCTGAGTGCAAATTCCACACAAAGCCATTCCCAGTGGGCATCTAGGAATCTAACACTCTATGAAACTTCGCAAGGAGGTTGTGAAATCCCATAAAAACATACTCCTGAGTCAAGAGGTTGGCAAGAGTCTGGTCTGTTGTCTCGACACTGAAAAAGATTCTTTTGTTTATTACGTACTTAAAGACACGCAGGCTAAATCCAGATGGGGTTTGGATGTATGTAAGCAACTAACCACTTTTCCAAGACACGGCAACAGCTGCACAAGGCAGGCTGCCCAGCCTCCCTCCCAAAGGCAGGAAGAGAAGGAGCAGAGCCCCAAAAGCAGCCCAAGGGGAGCAGATCCATCCCTTTCTGAGAGGAAGCAAAATGCCTCAAAGGCTGACTCATTGCTCCAACCAGATGGGCATTTGGCCTGTTGTCGCTTTTCAGCCATCAGTCACCAAGGAACTGGGTCAGCTGTTGGGGAACGGGTGTAAACACAGCAAACGACACACGCAACGCAGCCACCGGGGACACGGCAAGGTCAGACACGCACTGGCCAGCTACTCTCCAGAGAATGCCGATTCAGCATATCGTCTGCAAAGCCAAGAGGATGTATTGTCGAAGGCTTTCATGGCCGGAATCACTGGGTTGTTGTAGGTTTTTTCGGGCTATATGGCCATGTTCTAGAGGCATTCTCTCCTGACGTTTCGCCTGCATCTATGGCAAGCATAGATGGTAGTGAGATCGACCTCACTACCTCTGAGAATGCTTGCCATAGATGCAGGCAAAACATCAGGAGAGAATGGCTCTAGAAAAGTGGTTCTCAACCTGGGGGTCGGGACCCCTGGAGGGGTCACGAGGGAGTGTAAGAGGGGTCACTAAAGACCACCGGAAAACACAGTATTTTCTGTTGGTCATGGGGGTTCTATGTGGGAAGTTTGACCCAATTCTGTCGGTGGGGTTCAGAATGCTCTTTAGCTGAACTACAAATCCCAGCACTACAACTCCCAAAATGTCAAGATTTTCCCCAAACTCCACCAGTGTTCACATTTGGGCATATTTACTATTTGTGCCAAGTTTGATCCAGATCCATCATTGTTTGAGTCCACAGAGTCCACAGTGTTGAACTACAACTCCAAAAACTCAAGGTCAGTGTCTACCAGACTCTCCCAGTATTTCTCTTGGCCATGGGAATTCTGTGTGCCAAGTTTGATTCAATTCCATCATTAGTGTAGTTCAAAAGGCTCTTTGATTTTAGGTGAACTATAAATCCCAGCAACTCCAATATTCCCAAATGACAAAATCAATCCCCTCCAACCCCATTAGTATTAAATTTGGGTGTATTGGGTATTTGTGCCCAATTTGGTCCAGTGAATGAAAATACATCCTGCATATCAGATATTGACATTACGATTCATAACAGGAGCAAAATTATAGTTATGAAGTAGCAACAACAATAACGTTATGGTTGGGGGTCATCACAACATGAGGACCTGTACTAAGGGGTCGTGGCATTAGGAAGGTTGAGAATCACTGCTCTAGAACATGGCCATATAGCCCGAAAAAACCTACAACAACCCAAAGCCAAGAAGCCTTCCTGAACAGCATCTGCCCCCTATCCGTCTTCCACTAACACAGTGTTTCTCAACCTTTCTGATGCCGCAACCCCTTAATATTTATGTGTTACTAGCTGTCCCCTGCCAGGCGTTGCTGTGGCCCAGTCTGGTGATCTGGAAAATAAAGTAATGTCAAAGTGTGCGTTTCTAATATATGTAATTTCTTTATGCTTGTGGCTAAACAATATAATTTCTTTGTCAGTGCTGACATGGAGATTGTCTGGTTTGCCTACTCAAAC